TTTATGGTACAACTAAAAATTGTACCTATACGAATGGTACAACCTTAAGTTGTACCTACACTTTCTAACAAATCCCTTTATGGTACAACTAAAAATTGTACCTATACGAATGGTACAACCTTAAGTTGTACCTACACTTTTTCAAAATCCTTCTATGGTACAACCCAAACTTGTGCCTATAATATGGTACAATTTTAAGTTGTACCTACACTTTCTAATAAATCCCTTTATGGTACAACTCAAAATTGTACCTATACTAATGGTACAACTTTAAGTTGTACCTACACTTTCTAATAAATCTCTTTATGGTACAACTCAAAATTGTACCTATACTAATGGTACAACTTTAAGTTGTACCTACACTTTCTAAAAATCCTTCTATGGTACAACCCAAAATTGTACCTATACCATGGTACAAATTTAAGTTGTACCTACACTTTCTAACAAATCCCTTATGGTACAACTAAAAATTGTACCTATACTAATGGTACAACCTTAAGTTGTACCTACACTTTCTCAAAATTCTTTAATGGTACAACCCAAACTTGTACCTATAATATGGTACAATTTTGAGTTGTACCTACACTTTCTAATAAATCCCTTCATGGTACAACTCAAAATTGTACCTATACTAATGGTACAACTTTAAGTTGTACCTACACTTTGTGAAACAAATTCTTCAATGGTACAGCTGAAACTTGTACCTATACTAATGGTACAACTTTAAGTTGTACCTACACTTGTATACATTGATTCATTATTTACAAGATTGCCATTAATGATGTGGGACTAGTCATTTAGTGGGTTTACCTCCTCAACAGGTCACCTTTTTTTTTTTGTTTTTTATAGCATGGGTGCTATAGAGCACACTAGAAGGGCTCTTAGAATAACATGTTCTTCATTCCTTATTATAGCAATCGTGTAGGTATCATTCGTCTCTAATCTCTTCTCGCCAACCTTCAGCAATGCATGACTCTATCAACTTTCTTAGTAGTGATCAATCAACTCGAGATAAGCAAGTAGACCTTGTAACATAAAACTTGTATTGTGGATTCTTTAACCTTAAATATTCTCTTGTTTCTTTCCTTCCAAAGACTCCACCATAAGCCATGAAGTACAACTGTTGTTGAATCGCTAAAACTATAACCCCAATCAAAAGCAAGTGAAACCAATGCCAGGAATGCATTATATTGGTAGTAAGTTTATTTATCAATCCAAGGTCACTAGATATATTACTACTCAGTTTTAGTTTTTATCTAGCAAACATATTCGAATGATATTAATTAAGAACTAAGAAAGCAATAGGAAATTAATTCGAGTTTCAGTTATCAAAAAAGAAACTCATGTATTGATTCCCCCTAATCTGTAGTCAGATTAACGATTGATTCCTTAATTGTTTCACTTAATGTTTATACTGTGGATAATTCTTTATTAGCTTTGAATCTCGATTAAAGAAAACAAAACCCTCTTAAATGGACTATTTAGAGGGATACTCACTACAAGAAAACATGGGCTTAGTGTCGGTTATGTTGTGTCGGTTCATTTAATCGACAGTGAAAATATATTTTACGTCAGAGATTTGTGTCAGTTATTGACCAGAACCTTTTTTGTAATTTGTCATCGGTTATGGGTAGCCAACACAAATTTTAGCGCGTTTGAATGTTGTTTTATTAAAATTGACACAAGTGCATCAGTTTTGTGTGGAAGCGACAAAACTTGTTAACAAGGGTGATAGAGGTGAAAGAGTGAAGGCGAATAGAGGAAAAGTAATTAGGGCGGATATGAGATGAGTTAGGATGATTACTATTATTTTAGTAGCCACAATGGCTATCAAACTTTATAGCGTCCATTTACATGGTTTTCCCTCTTTAAATTAATGATCAAGATTGTTCTGAGGATATTTTTGGAAACGAAAAAATAACATATGTGATTATTACTCTTTAAAACCAAACACCTCACACTCTCCTAGCCGCCTCCCTCCCACCCTCTCTTTCTCCACATCGAACTGCCGTCTACCCCTGTTGTCCCTCCCACCTCCCCACCCCACCGCTCGCCCTTCTCCACTCCCTCCCTCCCTCCCTCTCACTACCCCCGACGATGACCTATCGCTAGTTGCCACTTGTGCGGCGACGTTGAGGAGCCGGCAACTCTTGGTCGGATTTTAAATACGATTTAAACGTAGTGGTATTTATTTTTTTTATTTTGGTACTGATTTTTCATTGTTTTATTGTTTTTTTGCATTGGTATTGAATATGATGTAATAGTATATATTTCTTTGTTGGTATTGATGTTATCATATTAGTATCGATCTTCATGTATTGCTATAGGTTAAATCTACAATGATATTCATTAATAAGTGGTATATGTTGTGATAGTGGTAGTGGTAGCCTTTTGTGTAGGTTGCAGTGGTAGTGTTTTCATGTTTTGGTATTGATTTCTTGTTTTATTGCTATAATATATTGGTGTTTTTTGAAGTGGAGGTGTTTGTTTAATGGTTTGGTATTGATTTCTTGTTTCATTTTTGCAGTGTTATTAGTTCGGCTTAACAGAGACAAGAAAAAGATAAAGAAAAACGAAGGAAGAGAGATTTGAATGGAGATTACGGAAGTGAGACAAGTATAAATATAGAGAGAGATCATTTTAATTAGGGTGGTTCTATCGTACTTTGGGTAAAATCTAAACCTAGAATTGATCGAAGTTTGGCATCTCATACTACTCCTAAACCCTTCAAGATTAAATTCTAGGTCTTAATTCTATAAATCTCATACACTAAAATCAATTTAATTAGAAACGAAAATCAGTGGCCATGATTCGTCCAAATATATGCAAAAAATTAAATGCAAAATCTTAGGGTTTAGGCTCTACGATTTAGATAACTAAGACCTGTCAAGAACCAATTGATCCCATTAACTCGAGTTGTTGGAAGAGGTTCAATCGTGGATCATATACCGTTTACTAACACCCCCCTTCAAACTCAAGCCATTCAGACAGGCTTGGAGTTTGGACACACACAGGTCCGGACACCGTGTGCTTAACAGAAACGGAAATAGATGGGGGTCACCGGGATTTGAACAGAAGACCTCACGTTCACAAAAGGCTCTGATGCCATGTCAAGAACCAGTTGATCCCAATAACTCGAGTTGTTGGGAGAGGTTCAATCGTGGATCATATACCGTTTACTAACAAGACCTAGGGTTCACTCATCAAAGGTTAGGGTATAATATCATGCCAAAAATCCTGTTATTAGTTTGATGTTTAGATAGCGTTTTCCTACTCAAGGTATGTCGTACCCTAGATTTACCCAATGTACGATTGAAGCCACATTTTAATTAATATGTTTTGTAACTTGTTAAAATGTAGGAATTTGCTACGGTGACATGCATGTCACGGTGACATGCATTTTCCGGTGGACCTCATATAGGATTAGGTCGACCTAATCTGTTGTTTCAGTGTAAAAATAGTTTCATAATGCCTACTTTGGAGATTCATATCTTACAATTGGCTAGATGGAAATTGGAGATTAATGGCTTGTTTTGAAGCTGAAGTGTCCCTCTACACATTAAAGTACTTGGGAGCTCGATATAAAGTTCATAAGACCATTTTTGAACCTGATCAAAAGGCTATGCCAAAACTGGGAAACTGCCTGAAAATGGCCAAGTCTGGGAATGTGTTTGTGAAGCCTACTTTGGAGCTCAATTTGAGAGGTATGGATGCGAATCGAGTCCAGGGGCCTCTACCACGTTAAATTAGGTATGTTTTTCTACAAATTCAAGGCATTGGATGAAAGATTTAATATCTTTAAGGCTTCAAACAAAAGGCTCGAAGTTGCTACGAAGGCTGTTTTTGTGACAGCTTGCTTGTGCTCGAAGTCTGCCAGAAAAACAGCTTTCTTAGCAACTTCGACCCTTTTGTTTGAAGCCTTATAGATATACAATCTTTCATCCAATGCCTTGAATTTGTATAAAAATATACCTAATTTAACGTGGTAGAGGCCCCTAGAGTCGACTCGCATTCATGCTTTCTCGAATTAAGCTCCAAAGTAGGCTACACAAACACGTTTCCAGACTTAGCCATTTTCAGGCAGTTTCCCAGTTTTGGCATAGCCTTTTGATCATGTTCAAAAATAGTCTTCTAGACTTCCTATCGAGCTCTCAATCACTTCAATATGTAGAGGGACACTCCAACTTCAAACAAGCCATTAATCTTCAATTTCCATCTAGCCAATTGTATGATATGAATCTTCAAAGTAGGCACCATGAAACTGTTTTTACACTGAAACAACAGATTAGGTCGACCTTATCCTAAATGAGGTCAACCTGATCCTAAATGTGGTCGACCGAAAAGTGTAAGTCACCGTGACATGCATGTCACCATAGGCGCACCCTAAAATGTAATTTGTTAAAAAAATTAACCAATAAATATTTTTCCATACTCAATTTGCTCTTAGTAGCCATGAAACCGCTCTCAGACGGATACTCAATCATATTTTACCTCTTTTTTTTTATTTCCCTTTCTGTCATTTTAAGAGGTTACAATATGATCCATATATTTTTTTTTATATATGAAGGAATACTCTTGGTAGGATGGATATATGTATGGGGCGGGGAGATTCAAACCGAACTCGCATCATCCGCATAACTTTTGATATTTTTATTCATATTCAGTCAATGTATAGAATCTCGTATTGATTAGATTGGGAACGGTCTGATACCGGTGATCGCGATTTGATTGGCATTCCTAGAGAGGAGCAGACCCTACAACGCTAGAGTACACTGTAGAGTAACTATCACCTGCTGTTTCTGGAACACAGAGATCTGTAACATTGGATCCAAACCAATCTCAAGACAAGGAAATCTCATTGTTTGTAGGGGACCAATTACCTCAACCAAATCTCGTCCATCTAGACGAGCGGGGCCCGGCCCAAGAACACCAAGAATTAATCTTCACAAAAATTACCAAAAGGTTGTGGATCACTAAAACAAACCAATATTTATGCTAACCTTTGATGTTTGTGATGAAAATAAATAAATAAAGATTTACAACTTGAAATACTATGACTTTGAAGAAGTCTATCGACTATTTTCCTTGGTTCCATTCCCACCCCTGCACTCTATCGTACGAAGGCGAAATTAACAAAATACCAACAGTTGGATAGCTGCACAAGGAGAACCATTTATCTAATAATCAGAAAAATTCATGAAGTAGCAGCAATAGTTCCTCCATGTAATTCTAATTTTCTCTTTTTTTTTTTTCCATATCTCTTCGTTTTCTTTACACATATTAATAAATTTCCTATTTATTTAATTTTAAAAGCTTAAGCAGCGTAGAGTAGTACTGATCATCATCATGATCATCAGCAGTTGTAGTGGTACTGATGATGTGGAGCAATATCGGGATCAGAAAGCCGTTGGGAGATTTCAGGAGCAGCAGCAGTGGCGTCATTATTATGTTCATCATGATTATTACAGTAATTAGTGGTGGTTGCAGTAGTAGTAATCTTCCTCCTTTTGGAGTTGTTGCGGTTGATGGCCTCCGTCATCATAATATTGTCCACTGCCACAACTTGGCCAATAGTACCGCCATCGCTGCAGCAGCTGCTGATACTAGTGCTAGTGCTAATGGTCCCGTCGTTCATATTCTTCTGCTTCGGCTCTTCTTCTTCTCCTTCTGACGACGCCGATGAGCAGAAGAAGAGCTGCCGGTCAAGCTGCAGGTTGACCGGCGTATCGGAGCTGGACACTCTGTCCATCACTGACTCGTACTCTTCCATTGCCACCTCTTGCATCTCCTTGTAGCTCTCTTCCATCATTTCCTGCGCCATGGACCCCATTTTACAAAAAAAAAAAAAAAAACTATATATATAAATAAATAAAATTTGAAATTTGACTTTTCTCCATATCATCGTAAATATCTAAGTATTATGCACTAGAGAGTACAAAAAAGAAAAAAAAAATTATCTTATTGGATTCATCTGATCTGATTTAATCTGGTTGAGATAGGTATTCTGCATGTCACTTGGATTGTACGGATAGGAGTATGAGTATGAGTCTTTCGTCACATTCTCCTTAATGTTACTTTAGCTTATCACATATGCATTTAATCCAATATAGGTATCATGAAGTGAGAATTTCCGTGTATGAAAGAACTGCGGATCTAAGCGTGTACGTCTAGGGTTCGCATATTGGGAATTTTGCAGAGAATTGAGAATTACGATAGGAATTAGGGATTTGAATAGAAAGATTAAAATTGGGGTTGGGGGTTTAGAAGATGAATCTGGGAATCGAGGAGAAGAACAACCAAAATATTGAAAGAAAGAGAGATTAGCGTTTTGAGAGATATCTTCTAAATACTTTTCTTATCGATCCCAGGTAAACCAAAAATACATATTTATATAAGAAATAAACCCAAAAATAAAAAACCTAATAATAAAAAATCCTAATTAAACCCTAATTTGGCCAAAATTGGCCGTCCAAACTCCTAAACCCTAATAATACTTATATTTCTAACTGTGTCTCTGATATATATTGATTTGACTAATCATTTTATTCTCTCTATTGTTATTTTGAATGTATCATTTTTTTCTATTTTCTCTTATAGCATTGCTTATGTTATGTATTGTCTCAAACGAAATTATCCAATTTAATACACACACCTAATCATAAACCGAGTAAAAGAATTACTATTAAGTAGGATGGAAATGGGTCAGGTTGGGTTTCCCTAAACTCAAACGCAATCCGGCGAGTGCACCCATTGAAAGAAATTTGGTAAAATATACATTGGGTTTTAGAAGAGCAAACTCGACCTAACCCAACGTCTACCCACGAATGCATAGGTATCTACGGGTTCACAAACCTAACTATACATTTTTTCACAGATGACTAATGTCGTAATGTTATCAAATTTCCCTCCAAATATAACTTTATAAAGACTAATAAATTCATAAATTATCTATACTATACCGACATATAGATTAACAACACCATAAATTATTCATATTGTTCATATTAAGACATAAAATGACCTCATTTTGATTTTTTTATGTGCAGGTTCGATGAAAAGAGGATTCGGTTTTGCAAGATTCAAACACAACCCACATAACTTTAAAAGTGAGTAAAATTTTCACTCGAGCTAAAACCCATCAACACTGATTTTTTTATTGAGATACCCACCCACTTTTAGTAGCAATATCATTTTTAAATGATTCGAACTCAACCTAGAATAGGTGTATTAAGTCTTGCTGCTATACCACCAACCCCTTCAATTTTTGTTTTATCTATCATTATCAGTAAACTAATCCGTGGAATTAATTAACTACGAAACAACTTTCTTCTTTCTATGTCCCTAATGAATGGATGGAAGTTCTTTTTCTGTTGGGTCAAATCACTTTTTTTTTTCTAAATGCACTGTACTAAGTTCTGCGCTGCGACATATAAAAAAGGGTTGTTGTGGAGCTTCTAAAACAACGACGAACAGTTGTCTCCATTAATACCAAGACAAATTATGCACGAAACTGTCCCGGTATAAGAATAAACAAATTCCATGCAGGTGCAAAAAAGTCCGGTTCTTTTATTACCTTATTTACATATGAACAGCTGAGGATCGCATCTCTGTAGCACGAAAACTGCAACGGGAAGAGCTCATGGCACGCCGAGAGAAGCGCCGATGCTGCAATTAACGACGGTTTGAATCCCACCATCTTGCCCTCTGCACAAAAATGGATCAGTCTGATTTCAGCTAGGAAACCCAGCAAACGATTTTTGCTAAAAAGAAAATTTTGTTACCATTCTGAGCTCTGAGGATGGTTTGAGTAGCACGAGTTCTGAGTGCCTGTTTCAATGGTGGGTCTTTGAGTTTGAAGTAATGGATGAAGAAAGAGAGGAAGGCGAAAGGAGTGACGGAGCGCATCCTCCATTTCAGAGCTCCCAGTATTAGAGCTTCCATCCGCTGAATCGTCTCTGTGTCAAACATAAGTCCTCCATGATTGGCATTCCCCTGCATTAATTAAAAAAACAGAGTGAAGTTGGCCAAATCGGAGAAAACAGAGGAATTGCATTGAAAAGTTTCTTGATCTGTTTTCCTTTATTGGACCTGAATATCATTGAGAGAGAACTCTGTGGTTCTGTTCATCATTTTCACTGCCAGGGAGACGCAAGACACTCTGAGAAGGCGAACCACCCAAGGCTTTTGTTGCTGCAGCGATAGAAAAATAACAAAGATATGATCTTTGAGATATTTTTTTGAAGCTACTCTGTTTCTTTTTTTATTTATCTATCATCCAGTAAACAAAGTAAATAGAGAGATGGTGCTTCATAATTACCGGCATTCCTTGGGTTGACAAGAACCGGTCGAGGTAATTAACTGCGAGATAGGACAAAAATGGGTCGAAGAAGCAACAGACCTGAAATGGAATCGGATCCCCGTGAAAAAAGAAAACAGGGGATTAACAGCAAGAAAAATAGAAACAGAGCATTTTCCGTGGCTCTGTATACCTGTAAAATGAAAGTAACAGCATCCTGGCGGAAAGAAAAGCCGATGCCGGCGGGTGGTTTGACGGACTTAGAGTAGGAAAGGGAAGGCATGTGATCAGATTCGATGAGGAATAGAGAAGGGAAAGTGTCGGAGTGAATACCATGGTGACTGGTTAGTGGGTTTTCAAGGTCAAATTCCATTTCTGAATGCTCTGTTACTTTGTTTCCTAATTCCGAAGAAGTCTCCTCAGAAGAAGTAGAAGACATGGAAAGAGAGAGAGAGAGAGAGAGAGAGAGAGAGAGAGAGAGAGAGAGGTGTATTGGGAAGAAGAAGAAGAAGATGGAGCGGTAGAGTTTTAGAAGAAGAAATATAAACCCTCTGCAGTCTGTCTTATGCATACATGCCTTTTTCTTTTCCCTTTTGTAATTTTATGCCAGTTGTTAATACGATTTTGGGGGTTTTGTTTGCTTTTAAAATTTTCTTTCTGCCCTCTGTTTTTGGGGAAGGGGGAATTGGTTTTGTGGTGGAAAAGAAAAAGCAAAAGGATTGATGGAAGGAGAAACGAGCAGATGGGTCACTGCTTTTATGTTGAAAGATGAAGGCGTGTCAGATTGAAGAGGGATTGGGTAGAAGAGTTGATGATTTTAGAAAAATACAAATGGTGAAAGATTGGAAATTTTATCTGGGGTAAATCTAAATGATAAAATCTGCAATAGTATAACCAAACAATTGGATCCAACTATGATACGATTTCGACCAGACATTAAAGTTGTCGTCATCACTCCTTCGACTGCTTAATTTTTCTGTTTCTCCCGTTCTTGTCTAAGATAGTTCCCTCCTAATCAAATATGTCGCGAACCACCAGATACATAGATCTTCTCATTGACATCGGAAGTGTCGCTAGGATCCATCAAAGTCCTCGGCATGCTCTTACTCGTCATGTTTTTCAACCCCTCTCCTTCAACAGTCGTTTTCCTCGCCGCACAATCTCCTAGTTCGCTGCTCGTCGATGCACTTCCATCTCTCCCTCCTTGTTTCACACTTCTGATCTTTTCGTTCTTCTATATGTGACACTAACTGTCATGATAGGAAGGTTAAACATCATGTCCATCGTCTTGGTTTTTGTGATTGTGTCTTGATCAGCCCAGTTAATGCAACTAGTGGCATGGCGATAGCTTGGACTTTAGAGGTTTATTGTATTACCCTTATGCATACACTACAATACCTGGTTGTTATTGTATTCCCCTCTAATGTTTGACTTTATTAAGTTCATTTCCGTTCATTTTAATTGTGATAAAAATCTTCGTCAATCATAGTTAAATAAAATATATATTCTTATCTCGTCCTCCTCTTCTCCAATTTTTATTTTAGGTGATTTCAACTGTTTGTTGTCTATAAGAACAACAGTAGGCAGACCTCCTTATCCTTCTGCTCTTGCCCAATTACACCTATTTCTAACAGGATCCTCTCTTTAATACATGTGTTTTCAAGATCTTCCATTCAATTGGTCGAATCATCGCTCTCCTTATAAAAATATATACTTGAGCGGCTTGATAAATGCTTGTGCTCATCTCTTTTTGTCACTCATGGCCAAATATGCAAGTCCTCCACCTCACAGACTTAGTGTCTGATCATCATATGCTTCTCCTTCAACTCCAACCCTCCGTTTCCAGAACAATATCTAACTTCTAACTGGATGACCATTGGATTGGAAATATTGAAGCAAAAGATATATCATTAATGACCAGCGACTGCACTTAGTGCAAGGTTCTTCTCAACTCCAACTTTTCAACTTCCTGAAATTGTCTCGACACACGATTAATGGATGGGTTGCTGGTGATACCTTTACTCATCCCACACTTATCGAGAATTGTAGCATCCCATTGAATCTTGACGTGGTAGCCATAAGGTAAATTGGTCCATTGTTTCTAAGTTAGAAATCCAATGAAATGCTCCTTGCCTTCGAATAGATCTCTACTGGCAACACAAATCGAGAATATGTTGGCTAATTCAAGGAGACTCCAATAATTGATCATATTACATAACCACTTTGCAACAGAGGAGAATGAATAGAATCGTTGATTTGCATGACGATGCATCGTTTGTTAATTTTGTGGAAGAATCCAAAGGTAATATACAAATCCTCTACTTTGAGCAACTGTTTTTTCTTCTAAAGCGCCTGAAGCTGGGCCGTATGTATGAAGACATGCTGCTCTTGTCACCCATGACATGAAAATTCCTCTCACTCTCATCCCATCTCGAGACGAGATTCAAGCTGCTACTTTCAGAGGATTATCAAAAACTCGATTTTGATGGGTTTACCAACATCTTCTTCCAAGAATTTTGCAGCACCGTTGGAGAACTTGTGATCGGTGCAACGTTGGAATCTTTTTACATAGGCCACCTGCTTTGCAACTTCAACCATACTTGGATAAATCTCCTTCCTAAGGTTGACAATGTTGAAAAATGTGTCAAATGAGGCTTGTTGGTCTTGGTCAAGTTCCATTAAAAATTATAGCTCGCGTCTTGATACTTAGACTTTGGCAGGTTCTCTCTAAATTGGTAAGTCCTTTTCATAATGGATTTGTGAAAGGTCCATTTATAAGTTATAACATTGACTCGCACGAAACTACACCACAAATTAATCCCAACTAGAGCCCAAGTTTTTAAACTCTAGCCGGGTGCAGTATAGAGCAAGTATTTAAATTGTCAACCGGGCTGGTTCATGTACCCCTACTTCAATTGCTTAAGTTTTTATCTAGCAAAACGGTTTTGGGTTTTAAACCTAAGAAAACTACAAACTAAACAAGCAAGGAAAAGTAAATAAATGGAAAATTCTAACCAAGGGAGCTTCACCCAGGAGTTGCTTCCCCTTAACAAGCTACCATGACTCGCTGGATTGAATGGAGTCATGTGGTGTAGGTGGTTGTGAACCGCATGGGTAAGCAACTAGTGATCGATTTGTCACGGAATCAATTCACTAGCGATCGATTTGTCACGGGATCGATCCACAAACCAAGTCTAGGGGAACCGCTAGGAGGAGCAACTAGTGATACATTTGTCACGGGATGGATTCTCTCACTCAGTCTCTAGGGGTTTCTTAGGTCTCTCCCTCAAACCAGAGTTTGAGCGGCTTAATCACAGCAGACCTAGATGCAAACTTGAGTCAAGGGGGATGCTCATCTCTAACCTAGATAGTAGGAACAAAGTGCCCAGGAAAACCAAGCTTGTTTAGCCTATCTAAAAAGGTGTGGTTTTCCTCTAATCTAGGTTAGGCAAGCACACAAGATTTGGAAAGTACAACTAAGCACAATCACCATGAAAACACCCTTAATACTCAAACTGATGCAAACCCATACAAAATCATTCAATCTAAACAAGTAATTACAAAGTATTAGTTAGGGATCTAAACCACCCAAGAGAAAAGAGTGAGTTTCTAGAGAGAGAGAGAGGAGATTACAAAGAAACCTCTAGATCTTCTTCTTCTTCTTCTTCTTCTTCTTCTTCTTCTTCTTCTTCTAGGCTTGATTCCTAGCTTTCAAGCTTGATCAATGCCTTCAATTAAGCTCCAAGATCACTCCCTCTCTCACTAGAACTCCTCTTTGGTGTTTTAGGTTGAAACCCTAGAGAAAGAAAGTGTTCCTTCTCCAAAACCAGCTCCCTTTTCTCTCTCCCCGCTGCTATCTTCATATTTGCCCGAAAGTGACCAGTTCACGGACGCGTTGGCCAGTTCACGGTTGTGAACACCTAAACGCGTATGTGAACTCCGTGTCGTCCAAAACGCACCGCTTCACTCTTCTGGGTTCACGGTCAATGGCCCCAGTTCACGGTCTTAGAGACCTATGAACTCGCCTCGCGTCATTAACTTCGGTAAGTGCCCTGGATGCCTTGATGTTCACGACCCATACCTCCTCTTCACAGTCTTAGGAGACCGTGAACTGCCTTGTCCCACCGTGAACTGAGGTTGTTTCCTGGACGCCTTCACTTCACTGTTACGGGGCAATTGTCACGTTTCTTCGATTTTTGCGCTTTTTGACCTCCAATTATCCCAAAACTCGTCCTCGACCTTCCCACACGTGCTAGGACCTGAAATGTATCAAAACAAGCACAACCTAGCATGAAATATGTCGAGGAACGATGAAATACTAAGCTAAACGAATAAAAATGAGGGGTAAAATGTGTACATTTGGGCCCGAATCAAACATATAATGTTCTTTTGCGACAAGAGGTTCTGCATTTTTTAATACCAAATCTCAAGATCACGACAAATGAAAGGCATTAAAGTTAGACATGGTGAAAGCATATGATCATGTCGAAGGTGGGGTTTTTTCAAGTTATAAGTCGATTAGGTTTATGTGAATAGTGGGTTCATTGGGAGTATGCATGTGTTTCCACAATAATATTTTATGTTTTAATTATTAGAACTGCTCATGGCTACTTTCGACCAGAACGTGAGCTTCGACAATGAGATCCTCTACCCCCCTCTCTTATTTGCCTTATATACAGAATTCTTTTCCTCTCTAATCCATGTTGTTGTATCTCTTAACTTACTCCGTGCTCCTAAGATTCATCGTCATTTCCCAACAACCTCACATCTTTTTTGGTTGATGAGTCATATCTTTCCATGCTTGCTTCTATCTAGAAATGTTATAACCTTCTTGAATTGATTGATTCTTTTCGGCTTATGATTGACCAAAAGGTAAATGTTCATAATTTTATTGTCTCCTTTAGTGCAAACATGACTGTTTTTGAAGCTAATGTTATCATCTCTCATCATAGAATGCTGAAGGTGGTCAGTAAGACTTATACTTGGCCTTCCTGCCCAACTACAATCTTGGAGATGGATTAAATTTTTAACAGTCTTGGGAAAAAAATGAAATTGGATAAAGATATAATACACGACCACAATGCTAAAAGTGGACTCGAATGCAATTGCTGATATAGGAATAGTTGGTACAACACTTGCCATCTTTCAAATAATTGGATACTTTGAGTAGACCTTCCATCACATAAGAATGTAAAATTATTTTGATTCCGACTCTACGACATGTGTTGTATAGCGTTGACTTTTTCATTTCACCCCCAGAAGGAGAACTAATTTCTATGGTAAATTTCATCCTAAGTTTTTTACCAGGATAAAAGTGTAACAAATTTTAGGAATAGAGGATGTTAAAGCACTTACAACATTTTGTGTAGCAACTGAAACCAAGTTTTCTTCAAATAAAAGGAATACACCTCCAAGAACTTTTTCACCAGATTTTTGGAAAATATAGCAGCAACTTTATCATCATTAATATTTTCCATAAAATGATCTACATATTTCAGTTTATATAGCGGGTCATAATGTAATACGAGTTATAATCATAGGATGCCCTATGATCGAATCCCATCTTTGGTAGCTTCATCTTCCTAAATAGAGTCAACGATCTCTAAGAATATCTT